TATTTAGATATCAACCCTGAACCGTCAACACACCCTCTCCAACTTCACATGGCACCACTGTGCAACATTACTTTCCACTTATTTTTTCCCTAATTTCCTAATAATTGTGCTCCATCGTACAGGTGTTTTTTCTCTTTAAGGTAAAAGGTTCCCGCGGTGTTGAAAGGTGAATGAATGAATGAAAAATTTGCCTAAGTCCTCAGTTGATAAAGAATGAGTCTTACTCGTAAACTCGTAAGGACTCATAATTTTCCAGCTGTTTTCTCTGAGTTGTTTTTTTTTCTGTCTATATTTAGATATGGACCCTGAACACAGCCCCGACAACAGCAAATATCATTCCGATTTTTCTTCCCTTTTTTGGCATATTTTGTAATCATGTTATACAATCTATCTGGCTTTGTTCTATTTTTAGAGATGGACCCTGAACCCTGAACACAGCCCATTCATGATCATGGCAATGGTGAATACCATGCTTATTTTTCACTTATTTTGCACTGCTTCTCAACCTATCTGTTTCCATTTTTCAGACAGCTTTCTATATTTGGATATGGACCCTGAACCCTGAACACAGCCTCTCCAACTTACTAAGCAATATTCTGATTTTCTACACATTTTTGGACAATTTATTTGCCATTTTTCCTGATTTTATGGCTGCTTCTCTCCTTAAGAGAAAAGGTTCCCGCGGTGATGAAAGGTAAATCAATGAATGAATCAATGAAAAATTTGTCTAAGTCCTCAGTTGATAAAGAATGAGTCTTACTCGTAAACTCGTAAGGACTCATAATTAAGACTAACTTGAAGAGAAAGTCTGCTGATGATCCAGAAATTGAGGAGCCAAAAAAGAAAAAAGTTTTGGCCCTACACCCGAAGTTCCTATTGGACTTGTTTGGGACTCTGTTGATTACAGCTGTTCATATGACTCACTTTTTACAATTTTATGTGAGATCTGGATTTACAATCCAAGAAACTGGACAACAGCATTTTATACATTTAGTAATCAGGGCAAACTGTTAGCAGATGGATACAAAAAAGTTATTAGAAGTGTAGATACTCTAGAAAATATTCGAAATGAAGTTCGTAGATCACTCAAACATGATAACCCAGTATTATTTCCAGATGGAGCTACTGGAACTGACATTCGTGATCTACTTTACTATTTCTTCACATCAGATCATAGTGTCTCTTTGGGTTACAGAAGGTCATCATGCATTGGATGCAACAACAATCATGATATGGATAATCCTCCAGAAAGAGTTATGTCAGTTTTAGATGGAACTTACAAATCAATCAATGATTGGTTACAGCATTGGCTAGAGGAACCTAGTATATGTGACTGTGGCTCTCCCACAATTATCAAAAGGATATATGATCAGCCCCCTTCACTACTTGCATTCAGTTTAAATACTTCAAGAGTAGCAATAAGCAAGTCTATTCGTATCAAGGGAATAAATGGAAGATCTACAATTCTACCATTAAGAGGTATTATTTATTCTGGTGGCTTTCATTTCACTGCTTATGTGATCACTCCTGGAAAAGAGGTGTGGTATCATGATGGTATGACAA